CCTCGATTTTTTTTCTCTTGGAGAAACAACACAGTTAAAGAGAGGGAGAGAGCGAGAGCGCGAGGAGAAGATTGGCTCCTCTCGCTGTCGTCCTGTCTTGCGATTGGTAGGCGCCTGTTGCTAGGCTTGTGTCGGGTTTCGACAGTTTTTTTCTGCTTCCTCCACTGTCTGTGCGCCCATAGGTCAGGTTTGAACTGGTCTGGTGGACCTCTGCCACTTGTTGAACATCCCAGCGAAAAGGAAAAGAGAGGGGGGAGAAAAAAAATGTGCAGCATGATTGTCACTGCCGGAGAAAACAAAAGGCGAGACACGTGCAGATTAGAGTTTGGCACAGTTTCCTCATTAGTACCTGAGTCAGCCTCCTTGTTGGTTCAAGGCTGTTATGAATCGTCGTGTTACACTTGCATCAAGTCAAGACATCTGTCGGCAATTAAAAAAAAAAAAAGTAGGTTTCCACACCTTGTTAGCATGATGCTTTGGAACATAAAAAGTGTAACAAAAACTTTGTGGCATGACCGAAACTAAATACAGTTTTGATGCTCATTAATATGGAAACCCAGACAAGTGCCTTATTTTTTTGGCATCAAGACCTAAAAAAAAAACATCTCACCAGGAACTCATAACTCTCTGTGCTATATTTTAATTGCGGGAAGGTGTAGCTCGTGACAAATGACACTTTGGCAGTTCATCTTTGGCAACAACAAGCTGCATCCTGTCATTAGTGTGTATGTGTGTGGGTGGGTGCGCATGTGTGCAAGTTTGTGCTGTCCCTCGTGCGCTATCGAATATATTTTTATTGGCTATTTAGCTATTTCATTGTGCATTGTTGACAGGGGCTCGACTCTGACGGCCTTAAAAAAAATCACTAGCACATCATTAATTAATATGCGCAAAAGTCAGATGATGGTAGTGGCTTCAAAAGCATTACAATAGTGTGCTGCCAAGCAATAAAGTGACTACTATTTTAACCATTGCTACATGGTGACCCACCATCACTGATTTACGTTTTCTTAAATATTCGTGGGCCACCCAGGACGATTGTAGTTTTTGTTTTTTTTAAACATATCGCAACACTTTATATAAATGCTGCCTTAACCGATCAGATAGCAGTTTGACTTTGAATAAAATAAATAGTATCTTAGTCATTGACTCCCTACTGGCGCACGATGTTTGGAGGCTACCAACGGTCCGCGATGGACCAGTTTGTGTGGCAGCATAAGACGAAGTGGTCATACGACACAAGAGGTCATGCAACGCGTATCGCTGGAGGTGTCATCTCGAGGCCAGTGGGAAGAAATATACGAGCCTAAAAGCACTGAAACAACAATCTCACCCCGCGGAATCATCAGTGCGTGCACAGTGACAATAGCGCCGGCCAAGCCGGGACACCCCCCCGGCCCCCCCTGAGCCTATAAGCGCTTTTATGTGAAATAGGGGTCCGGTGTGTCGTTACGCTGACCGGCCTCTCTTCTGCAGCTTTTGCTGAGCCGCATGAGTGCTGACTCCAGTCCCTGGGAACATGTTTACCTCTCTGCCCCGTTCCCCACCCTCCCTGCGGCAACAGGAGGGGACCCGAGGTGAGAGAAGGGTGGGCGAGGGAGGCTGGCCGGACCCACACAATGAACCTGCTGAATACTGTGCGATGTGGCTCGCCGTGCAGTTGGCTGCCAAACTGGCTGGACAGGCTCTTGATCAAAGTCCACCAGAGGGGAGGGGACGGGAGAGTGGTGGTGGTGGGGGCTGGGGGGGGCG